TCCCCCCCCCCCCCCCCATTTTCTTAGTGTATGAGCATTTTAAACTTTCCCTTTCTGTTGCTGTTTGCAGAAAAACAAACCCCTGTGTGGCACCACAGCCTTCAGAGAAACAGCATGTGTGATTGCCAGGAGACATCACCACAGCAGAAAAGGCCAGGACAACGCTTCATGTGTAACCCTGGATGTGTGCGATGATGATACATGGTGACAAAGAAGCAGCTGGTCCATCACCGCTTCAGTGGTCTTGCAAAAGACTTAAAGAAAGCCAAAAAACAACCCCACAACTATACACCCCTTTGTTAATCAAGGGAAACTACTCCCTAGGTGCGTTTGGCAAGCTCTGTTACCATACCTGGCTGAAACATTGGTTGTGAATGAGACACAGTCATTTGAAAATGTCAGCGGAGTGGTGCCTGTGATATCCTCCCACTGCGCAGGTGAAGTACCTCCTATGTAAATACAAACCATGGAGATTTTCTTTCAAACACCAAGCATATACAGACTACATAAGAATATTTTAAGTTATTTTGCTTCACACATGAAAATAGAACCTAGACAATAATGTTCAACAGCTGAGCTACATGTTATATATTACATCATATGTTACACAGCAGAAAACGATGATGATGTAAGCAAAGTACATACCTCCAAGTCAGTAGCAACGCGCCCCCCGGCTTTGATATCAGCTAGGACAGAATTATTTCTGTAAACTACTTTTACTAACAACCATGTTTAATAGCCAAGGCTGAAATTCTTAATATTGGCTAAATATAAAATAACATTTAACATCTGTTGGCAGAGTTCTTTTACAATGGCATGATACCAGACTGAGAGCCCAAGGAATCAGCGAGAGCCTTTCAAATGACCTCATCTGGCTTTGCTCAGGAGAACTAATCTGAACTCTACTGGACCAAGCACACTGATGTTCCCTTTCTGGAAAGCATGAGTTGTACAGTTATGAGAGTGAGCGCAGAGGCATGGCTGTCACAGAAACATTTGCAAAGAGCTCGATTTTCTCTAACCTGTAATGCTACATAAAAGTCGAAGGCTGGGCGTCGTGTCTCCTTTGTACCCATTGGTTACACCTTCTCCCGATGGAGGTGGCACAGGAATTGTCATGGTTATCGGCTTATGAAATTTTCTTCTTCTTGGCTCCACAGTGACAATGGGACTGAAAGTTGCTTTGTTTCCAAGGATTTTTTTTACAATCTCCTCTGGAACTGGTTGGGCCTGTCAACATAGGGAAAATATTTAAACTAGAGCTACAAATTGGTTATAGACATGCAGAATTGTTTTCCAAAAGATAATTCAATTTTCCTTTTATTTTCTGTAGAATTTTATTTCTTTTTTTCCCCAGGCAGTCTTCTCCTATAGCTCTCGAGGGTGGTTATTAGTACAATTCATGCTTAGTATTTTTCTCAGCAACCCACTTACGATTTCCTAATAGCTAACTTGTAAAGCAAAACTATAAATCTCAGAACATTGCTCGCAGTATTTGCTGAGAGTTTTTCAGAGCATGTTGGTTTTGTTTTTAATTTACAGTGATGGGTGGTATTAATTACAATTTCAAAATGCAAAAAGATGCTTATTTTGCACTTGAGAAATGAGGACTAGACCCTCTATATCTTGGAGATGCTGAACGATTCTCACATCTCTGCCAAACACAAATCTGTGCTCCCGAGGAACTCTGTGTACTCTGACTTACCTCTGCACTCAGTGCTTCCTATCCTATGCCAATATTGATTATTAGGAAAGAAATACTTGTTTGGGTCAAATTCATACAGAACGCATTAAGCTATAGAAGAGCTATAAGCAAATCTCAGATTTTCTACCTCCACTTTGTGCCTTGAAAGGTTTCCTGACTTTATATGGGAAGAACAAAAAAATAGCCAATATGGGAAGAAACGTTACAGATTTTTTGTAGTTTTTGTGACATAAGACCTGAATTCAAAAGTGACAGATATCTTATGGGAAACAGGGTTTTGCACCCATTTCCCTTTTTTTTTTTTTTTATTTCAAGTCTGTTCCGATCAGGCTGACCTGTGACTTGCTGCATTATTCAAACTGCACAACGTATTGCACACTTGGTGTGCAATTCTATGCATAGAATACATAGCTACGTTGCGGTCTCAGCAGTCACAACACTGCACATGGAGATGTTGCACTTCCTTCACACTAGAGCACTCTGGAAAGGCAGCTGTATAATTATAATAGCAGAGCTTCCATTTTCTCCAGATTAATCATCTTTAGATGTGAACTACCATTAACAGCAATGTTCCAGTGTGAATTCTGAGCACTGAAATCCAAACCAGCATCCCTATTTCATGAACCCATCAGACTTGTCAGGTTATTAAGTAATTTTAAGTGATAACTGACAGAACTCAAAGAAAAAGGTACCTCCTACAGAATATTTCTCCACTTTCTGTGCAGTTTAAGGAGAGTAAGCTATTCACTCTTCACAGATTCCACCCGTCGCTAGAAGCACCAATGGTGAATGTCCTAAGCTACAACAGATGTATATGGGAAGTCTTTGACCCAGTAACAGCTGGCAAACAGCTGCATGAAATCCTTACCAAACACATTCCTATGGCAAAGGGCAGCCCACTGACACCAATCACAAGCTGCTACTTTGCCACAGGAGACTTGGGACTGCACCGCGGCTGTACAGCTCATAGTTGCTGGCAGCCACGGCCAACAGGACGATGGCAGACAGTATCACTGAGGCTGTGGTGGCCCCAGACCTTTGCTTTTCTTTCCATTCTTCAGATGCTAAGTGATACTCAAGGTGATGATAAAAGGGGAACTGGGCTTTTGCCACAGGGAAGAGGACTGTGAATCACCTGCACCAGAGGGGCACCGAGAGGCAGACAGCATGCCCGGGCAGACACATGCCAATTCAGATCTCAGGTGCGAATATTACCCACTTTGCAACCCACTAGCAGCAGGCTCCTTAGCTGCACTCATGTGTTAAGACCAACAATGCGCTTGTGGGCACTGCGGATATGAACATGAGGGCACCTTTACCTGGAGGCCCACGCGGATTCTTTTGGTTAGAGCACCCTCAGGGAAGGACGCCTGGACACGCGGCACCGTCGTGCTGCTCAGCACGCCACCCTCCGGGCCAATTTGATTACTCTCCTGCTTGATTCGTGAAACCACCGCAAAGTACTGAGGGAAATCCTTTGTGACGATCCTGCAGATACGCTTCTTCTCTAGCTCCTCAACGCTGTCCAACTCTGGTGGGAGAAAACACAGTGAAAACATTCAAGGCATTACCTGCCCAAGTTCACACCAGACACACCTGTGAGTGTGAAGTTTTGAATATGCCTTAAAATACTTGAGAAGTTTTTTTTTATTTATTTACTACAGGAGAAAAAAAAATTCAGTGCTATTAGCTATCAAGTTTGGGTTTGCTCTGTGAACTTTTGCATAAATCTTGACAACAAGGGCCAACAGCACTGGACACACAGATCTGCCAGAACACCTAAGCACTAGGGTGTGACAGTCTCTGCTGCAGCAGCTGCCGTAGGATGGCAGGTTTGTCACACAGCATGGGAGTCCAAGGAGGTCTGAAGGAGATGGTCAAGCTTCTTTCCTCTCTCATCTATATCCAGAAGCACACAAGTGCATGGGTCTTTCTGTGCACATCTTCAAAAGATACTTATTTCCAACCTCTTCTCACATAGCTCTGACATGCAGAAAACCACAGGAAATCAGTCAGTTCATGAACTTTCTAACTGCACACCAAGTGTGCAATCCAGAGCTTTCCTAGCTAAAGCATTTGAGAAAGTTATCTTCCAGATTGGCATCCATATTATCCTGCCCAGACACTGAGCCCTCCGTTAAACTGTGGATGTGAAAGAGCTCTGTCTGCCAGCACCATCAATGAAACCATAGCAAGGATCCCTTCCCACATCCAGCCGTTCCAGATATCTGCCCCAAAATAACTGCATTGTGCTCCTCAGTTCCTAGAGAAACTTAATGCATCCTCAGAGGCAACTGGAACAGAAACAGGTCATGAACAATTAGTGCTCTCGGCCATATTGCCGGCTCATAGGGTCACCAGGGCTCAGAAAGGTGCATGGAGTATCTACTCATATTAACTAACTCAGTAGCTGAAGACACATACGCACTGAGGAAAACTCTGTGATATGTCACAAATATAAGTAATTATGCAACTATATGTGTATGTGTATATATGCACTGGTGAAATCCCTGCAATATAAACACTTATCCACAAATGGAGATAATTATACAACTGCCATGCATTTCTCCTGCAATTTCTTGCACTTGGCCGTTTTAGCTATTGTCTGGGTTTCATTCCAGCACTCCACAAGTTTCCACTCCTATTTTCCTCCTTAAAAAGGACACCACATTCCTAAAGAAGAAAGTTTGTTCCTAAAAAAGATGATATTGCTATCAGATGCAGCAAGAGAATGCAGGAGGACTAGAAATGACAAGACAAAAAACACTTGTAAAATTCTTTATGTGACTGAGACATTTTCCTCCTCTGAACATATAAGATCAATTATAGCTCCAAAATAATTAGAATATAGATTTGGTAAAATGTCAGTTTTCCATTTTAAAACTTTCAGCAGCTGATTTGGATTAATTGCACAGTACTGCTGTGGATCATATGTACCTATCAGAAGAGGATAATGTCTTATCATAATGTCAGCTTCCATTTAAAGTAAATGGAAGAGATTGGAAGTAGATTTAAAGTAAATGGAAGACTCAGAGATTGGTATCTGAAGCCCTCTAATGAATTAGGTATTCTGCCTGCAGCCTCTGGAAGCAAATGGCTTGTGCAGGAGACAAACAGGATTCTTAAACTCCCAGGCAGGTATAATCTTGACTGGTAAAGCCTATGCATTCTCCTGTTTGTTGCTAGAGACTAAACCCACTGTAAAATGCTCATAGAGATGAAGGATAATTAAAATTCTCCTGAAGTAGAAAATTAGCGTTTTATGTAAGAATATTTCAAAATCCTTTGAGCCTGGCAGGTGCTCTCCTTTACAGAAGGAAGGAAGATGTGAAGAATAGAGTGGCAAAACAACAGTCAGGCATGGAGAGGAGTTGGACTATATATAGGGAGGTTATGTTTGGATAATACATATGTAAGCTTCTATATGAAGTTGCCCTCTAACAAAACAAAACAAACAACAACAAAAACAGATGAGCAATCAAACTACCTCCCCGACTGCCATGAGAAATGCAGCGTTAGCATGACAGAATTAATGAAACGGGGAAAACTAGTCCTGGGAGAGGTCACGTTTCCCGAACACACCTCATGCATTTTACAGAAAGAGCTATCATCATTACTATTTTCCTCTGTTGCTGACACTTCATTCCTATGCAATGTATTTCAATTAAAAAACTCGAAGGATTTTTTGTTTGGTTGGTTGGGTTTTGTGTGAGCGTTTTTTTAACCACAGTGTGCTATACACCTCATCTTACAGCTAGGGATGGCAAAGCAGAGAGACGTAAAGCAGGAAGGTTAGTAGCAGCATTCGGAAGTCTCCCACTCTCACTACCTCCCAGATTTGTGCTAACAGCCCAAAGAACACCTATGGCCATTAGGTTTTAGCAAGTCAAGAGAAAGGTATTGTGAATACTCCATGCATACATGTCTTCCACTGCCACCCAAGTGTATGGTACACTTATGCTAAGGTGGCAGGTGGGAGGACGGACAAGATGGAGAGGAGGAGGGAGAAGAGGAGGAGGAGGAGGAAGATCACTCCTCTCCACCCTCTAGCCCATGCTCCCACATGAGCATTACGTCAAGGTTCCTGGACAGGAGAAGAGAAACCTAGCCACATCTTGCATGGTCAGAGAGGGACCTCACATAGGGTGGCTCAGGTCAAGGAAAGCAGTCACATCGGTTTTGTCAGGTGAGAGGCAGTTGTGGATCAGATTCATCCCATGTCTAATACCTTTCTTTTTTACTTTCAGATAAAGTAACGCAGAGCAAGTGTCTTCTGACTGGAAATGGAATAAAAGAAGTCACAGAACACCTGGCGCTGTTTCATGAGCTTCAAGGTGTCTTTGTATGACCTGGTATCTGATTTCCTTTACCAGGGCCTTAGAATACTTTTGCCAGCGCTGAAAAAGCAAATCTCACCGGTAATTAGCAGACAGAACAGCTCTCAGTTTTGCAACCCTCCTGCAGTAGTGGCAAGAGCAGAGCTGACCTTGTCACTGTGCAGAGACTGAAAAGTGGGGCAAGCGTAGGATACCAGTTTCCCCCATAGAGACGCGCCATTAAGAAACTGTTGCACTAAAAGCGTGGCACCCAGGAGGCAGCGCTCACATGGAGAAAAGTACAGGAGATGGGTGGAGGCAGAAAGAGCACATGGGAAGGGGGAAGGAGAAGCTGAGGGCAGCGAGACCCGTGTTAAAAATGCTGGTAACTAGACCCACCCTCCCAGCTTCAGTGTTTCACATACGTAACTAGATGCTCCCAGTGCCATGAGGAGGTCTCATCCTGAAATAAGACAAAGTCCTTTACATGCTCTTTTGTCTGTTTTTGCACAGTCTCTTATCTTGCCATGCACAACATGAAGTTTAACAGCAACACGTTTAAAAACTTTTCTTGGAAATGTGGCAAAATCACTGCAGAGTGACTTATAGTGGTATTTCAAACGCCAAGCATAAACAAGGTCACACTCCTGTTTGATCTGTAGATTCAAAGAAGCAGTTATGTAAAAATTCCTCCTTCCCATCTGAAACCACACTGTGCATCTGCAAGCATATTGTAGCCACAAATATTTGCCTTTCTTGGCTCACTCACTAGTTTGCAAACGCCTGTCAAAAGATTAGCTACTTCAGTGTGTGCATTTATGCACACAATTTATCTACAGGTACCTGTAAAAACTGCAGGAATGTAAAAAGCAAACACAAGTTATATCTAAAAGAAGCCTGGCTGAAAACTTAATCTATTTACCAATTACAATACAGAGAGCTTCTTCCCAACAAAAAAACAAACAAAAAAGATTATTTTACTTTATTCAAGTTTAAATAACTGTAATATGGCCAAGACTTGTGAATTGCTACTCTTGTGTTTGCAACCAAACTCCTCCTCTTCGAAAAAATGCCAAGTTCCCTGTATTAGCACAAGTACAGCACCATCTTTAGAATAAAACCTATTTAAGCAGAAACCTGATGGCACCAAAGAAAAAATGAGTCTCTACATCATGGTTCATTGTTCTTTCACAACAATAAACAGCAAAGTTCTGCTATTATTTAATCCTGCACTTAGTGCCCTGAAGTGTTGCCTCCTGCTCTGGATTATTTTGAGTCTGAGACGAGGTCTTCCAGCAGATGGTGCTGCTTCCAGTAAAGAACAGGCAGGTTTTCAGCAGTCCCCATGGAGGGCGAAGAGCAAAGATGTCCTCGCTCTCATCCCCACTAAGTGGAAGAGCAAAAGAGGAAAAACAAAACAGAGAAGCAAACTGCATCTTTAAAAATTCAGCATATTAAGGACCTGGGAATAAAGTCTGATCGTCCTCCTTCACTACACAGATAGGAAAGAACTAGTGAATCACAGCAGGTCTAACACAAAATGGACCAGACTGCTTTTAAGAGAAAAACAGGCACTCCTGACGCATGTTATAGCATTTACAGATGACCGTGCAAATGAATTTTCTTGCAAAGACACACTAAACTTCTGGAAATGACTATGTGGCTGCTTTTTATTTCAATTAAAGATTACTTCTGCCTCCAGAGTTCACACCTGGAATAAAACTTCTTCCAAAGTTATGGTTTCCGAGATGCAAGACACTGCTACAGAGCCAAGTCTAATTGTGGTATTTGTAACAAACCAGTAAACGTTCAGATGAAAAAACCAACCTCCACTTAATTCTACAAATCTGTAATTTGCTGTCATTGCTTGGAAGACCTTTTACACACAAAAAAGGTGTCATTTAACTGGAGCAGAATTTTGTCAAGACCCTTGTATTATTTTCATGCAGTTTTTGTTTTGTTTTCCTAACTAGAGAAGAATTAAGCTAAAATGAAGTGAACGAATAATCAACACAATGCTCTGGGTGTGTCTGCAGTATTTTTTCTCTTTTCTCTCTCATAAATGATTGCCTGGATTGGGAAAAGGCATTTCTGTGGCTTGGCTTTTAAGGTGCCAAATATTTTCACTCTAAGGGAATAGTCCAGTGTCCATCATACTTTCTGTGATTCACTGGCTGTACATATACCCGCTAACCTCAAACAGCAGTTCCTGAGAAGGTAAGAGCCACCTGAAACCCTCAATAAATGAGAAAGTTGTACTCTGGCTCTAAATTGTGAAGCTTATTATTTTAGGTTCTAAGCAGTGAGGGCTTCATTGCCACCTCTCAAAGTGTTTTTATTTATTGAGCTCTCTTCTCTGTAAAATGTGAATTTAGCCATATGGCACCTCTGGAGAGCTCTTTCATAAGTGATGCAAGTTGGAGCACTTTAGAACAGTGGTTTTGCGCCCAGATTTCCTATCCCAAAATTGAACTTAGCTTAGTTTGGAAAGCAGATGAAGCAAATAAGCAAGCTGCCCATCAGTTCTGACTACCTCACCACTGACAAGGCACCGATACTTCACCCAAATGCCAAATCATTACTTCCTATCTCATGTTAGTGCACAGAGAAGGAGGGGGGTGTGGTGAGATTTTTCTTTCAGAAAGACTGCAAGCCCTGCCTTTGATCCTGAAGTAATTCTTCCCCAAGCAATACTATCCTGGGCCATGCTCACACTTTTTCCTGTTCCACTGCTTTTAGGTACCCTTCTGTGATGAGGTTTATTGTATTTTTCCAAATTCACTGACCCAGTATTTTCAGTTTCTCCCCTACTACTTATTGGTTCTATTATGTTTATTTTGAAATTAATAGCTACAATAGATCATCATCATGTAAGAAGCAGATCTTTGCTGTTGCTCTGCATTTTTACAAGCTCATGTGCTGTTCAAGTACTTCAAAGTGAAAATACTACACAAGCCCATTCTGCTGTTCCCATCAGTATAAATGCTAAGTCTCAGACATCCAGGGAGTCCCTCACAACAGCACTACTCTCCTTTCCATGTTCTCAAAGCATGACTTCTGCTGAGGCTGCCCTCTTTAAACAAGGAGAGGCCAAGATCAAAGGCAGAGCCTGCTCACAGACACCTCTCACAGCTGCCATCCACAGCCTGATCATTCGCTTCAGATGCTTTTGCTGACCATGAAAGAACTTTCCTGCAGCTTGTACCCCACTACACTGTGACTTTCTGAAGGAGGTTATCCAGAGAAAATCCTATAGATAAACCCTTACAGAAAGCCAAAGTCCAAACCACAAGCTCTTTCAGTCACACTCAGATGCAAAGAGCTCAAGCAAGTGTTTATCAGCACAAGTGCTGAAAAACACTTGCTAGGAAAAGCAAGCAGTGATGCCAAGGGATCACTGCAGCCCCAGCCTGCCTTTGCCCACAATGTGTCTGCAGGCACCATCTGTCACAGCATCTTCTGATGAATTATGTACAGCTGAGTCCTCTCATCTTAAGGGACTCTGACATAAACAGCAACGTCCAAGCAAAACGAGGGAGCCAGACTTCCCAAACCTGCATCAGGAAGGCAGGTTGTGTATTTGTGGGAGGCAACCTCTAACAATACCCTTTCAAAGAAGAATGGTCTACAGGCTGAGGTCTGCATCTGTGGGGAAGTCTAATATAACTGATATTTACACTTCATCGTTCGTTTGGAATGACCTTCACGTGGCCCTGCCTGAGCAGCAGAAACACACTTATCTCCAGCTGGGATGTTATTCTCAACTTCATGCTGTAAAGCAACTGTGCAACTTCACTTGAACTTGGCAAGACTTCAGACCAAAACTTACCACTCATTTCAGGATGTCTCCAAGCCACTGCTGAACAATTTCTCTTTACTCTCTTTCCATTAGTTTAATATGTAACACACACTGTATTCCCCAAAAATCAGGTATCTCTTGCATTGTTTTACTTTAGGTTGCTTTAGTCTGCTCATGTTAGCAAGCCTGCACAAAGATAAGGCTTGCTAAAGCTTTGAGAAAATGTTTACCTTCATCCATGCCATTGAGTATTTCGGATAAGTCTTCATGTTTGCTGTCATACTGGTGCTCCTTCCACGTTTCACCATTTTCACTTCGAAGTACGATTAGTTCTCTTTCCTTTCCTCGCATTGATCCAAAATGTGGGATTTCCACTATGACAGGGCTAGAGAAAAAGGAATTGTATTATTTTTAATCCTGTATCTCCTCACTAGCCTTAATTTCCTATGGGCGTTAAGTCTTTAAGAAAACTACAGTCATTTTAAATAGGTAGCACTGTTATGGTAAAAATGTTTTTAGAATTGCCAAAGCTGCACAATCCGTTATCATTTAAACTATAGTTAATAGATAACTTGAAAATATTCATATATAGCTCATTTTTAATGTAAATATTCTGAAATAGCTGCCTACATGAAAAAATAGTGACAACTTCTGCTAAGCAGAGTTCCCCCTGCTCATTTATCCCAGGATGTAGGTGATCCAACCTGCCTCCAGCACACACAGCACTGCTGACTTTTAATTAGCGTTAGCATAGTCAAAATTCGGATTTGGCTCAAGGGATTTAGAGGGGCAAAGGCAGTTCAGAAACCATCCAGCTATCCAAATGCATGCAACAGCTATTGACTGCAGCAAGAACTGCACATGCATGTAGGTGTTAAACTTCAAACTAAGTCCCAGACTTTTCAGAGCTCTCCCTGGCTCCCTGTTGATGCAGCTCCTGTGAAACACAAGAGATTGTTTCTCATTAGCTTCACTTTCTGGTTCTCATGCCCAAAATCTCAGCTGCAACATCTGCACTGTAAGCGTCACTGGGGAATGTTTAGATCCTTTCAGAACAGATTTCTCTGAGTTAAGCAACATCACAACCACATTCATATTAGTTACTGTCAAACATTTTGGGGGGAAGGAAAGGGAACGAGAAGGTGGTTAACAGTAACACCTATGCCAGCAGACACTGTACCTTTAACAGAGGACTGCAAGTGTGTTACTGAACAGTTATTGTGAACAACCGACAGAAACCACCATTCACTTCATGTGCCATTCCTTAACAAAACAGACACATTTGCCAAACACTGCACAGGCAGGATATGCATTTTAAAAGTATGCTAAGACAAACCGACTGAAATCACAGAGTAAGTGAACAATTATGGATTATGCAGCTTTAAGACATTTAAATAGACAGTATCATTATTTTCCTACAGAGTTTGTAAAGAATTTCACCGCTTTGTAATAACTTGGTTAAAAGTAGCATGACATGATGGGAGATGTATGCAGCACTTCTATGGTACTGTACACCTGCAAGGTGTTGGGTGCATTAACCAATGAATTAATTGAGCACAGAAATCACAACAGCCATCACAAGGAAAAACATAAACTAGTTGGAAGTTCACATTAAATACTAGGGGAGAAGAGTTAGATAATATTTTTCCCATGAAAATAGAAGACAGTTTAATTAATACATATTTTAGATGCTTTTAAGAACATCCAGGCTATTGCTCTAATCTCAAGTCCTTTAACAATAGGATAGCTGCTGTCTCCCATTGTGCACAGCAAGTAAATACCAAAAATTTAAATACATTGGTTATGATATTTACTCTGTAGTTCAAACAGAGTACAAACTGAAAACTAACACTAGAGTACAATCTTTGCAGGCTAATATTTCAGATACTGTCTCTGTAAATAATCAGAAACCGCACAATTTTGTGCATGACATTTAACGAGAATACTCAGTGAGAAGGTATTGAACAGGTTTGAAACACCAAACACTCACCAATATTTTGCAAACCTAATGCAATAAATTTCACAATATGGTTTGAAAACAACAGTCAAAATCATATGGAAACATTCTTACATTTTTAGACTACACACTGCAGTTCCTTTAGGTAACATACTTGGCTTTATAAATTTATTTTAACAAGATGCCTCTCGCAGGTTGAAAAGAGTAGTCTTTCTCCAACCTTGTTGAATGAAGTCATTCAATCAATGACATTTCTTCTAAATAATCTTTCATAAAGAATAGACTTCATGCGAACACGTTTTACAAATGCTCTTCCCAAAACAGACTCACTCGAGGCCTGTAAATACCTTCTCTACCACAGGGTTGAACTTAAAGGACTGTCACTGTGTATTAAAATGTATTTGATGCAGTTGAAACACTTCAAATTTAAAAAATTACAAAAGCACAGAAGTTATGAAAGCAGAATGCTGGCAGTGAATTTTACATGCCTATAAGCACAAGATAGTAGCAGAGCTATATTAAATCAAGCCACTATGATTTTCTTTCAGTGACATAAATCAACTGAAAGCTTTAGAAAACTTAAAAGAAAAAATAAAATGGGAATAACAAAAAATTGGAAACAAAAGAAAAACTGTAGACATTCTGTATCTTTTCCGTACATATCCTACCCAATAAATTTTGTTCCTTGTGGACCAAGCTGCAGGATTCGGCTAACCATGCTCTCTCCCTCATTTAGAGGGGGAGGAGTGTTAGGAAGATGCAGTTTACTGAATAACATCCATGCAGCAGGAAGAGAAACGAGAAGGGGAAATTAGGAACAAGCTGTCATTCCCGACAGAACCAGCAGTATACACCAGGGTGCCACTCATGGTAACGAACAAAATTTATAATTAGGAAAAAAAAAGCCACATCATAGTGGATTGTTTCCCCTATTTTACTTAAAAAAAAAAAAAAAGGTCAGTTCCTAGCATTTGTACTACTTGACGCTCTACAGTAAGTCCTCTGCCATTGCTCTCAGTGGCTTTGCTCCACGGGACGGAGACAGGCAGCTCCCAGCAACTCAGGCAGGAGCTGTGAACACGCTGTGGCATAGGGAACAGAGCTCAATATTTGGGTTCTTGTGGGTGACTTTAGGACACTTTTTTGTGACAGTGATGTTTCCCCAATACTCTACGAGCAAGATCGTCAAAACTTGTTCTGGGTTATAGATGTGTGACTCCTCCTGACATCAAAGGCAGACTGCATGAGTAGATGGGGCAGGACCCAGCCTTTTCATGGCTTTTCTTACCTTCGGCTCCACCCTGCAGTCATCATCGAGGCAAAGCTCCCCTTAAGATACAAAGGTACTTTCCGGAAGGAATTTCAGGCTGGCATTTTTTAGTATTTCAAGTTCAGTAGCCTATCTTACATGCTCAAATGAATTAGAGTCAATGTATAACTACTTAGAGCCACAGGATAAAGGAAATGAAAGATGAAACTTGAGTGTAAACAATGAAATTCATAGAACAACTCACCCTAAAAATTGTGCCCCTGCTGGCCCCATTTCTACAAGTCTACTCGCCAATCCTTCTCCTTCAACCATTGGTGGTGGGCTGGCTAGTTTATGCCTCTTTACCAAGCGGCAGGTGATCCGAGTTGGGGCTGTACACTTGCGTGGTGGGATAATTATTCTCATTCCGTGATGGCGACTACCCCTCATCGAACCCCCACGTGCATCAACCATAAAACTAACCAGGAAACTGTAGGAAAAAGGAAACATGTCAATGAAAATGGTCACCAAACAAGCAGAAGATCAGCAAAAAAGTCAACCGTCATTAGAAAAGTCCTCCCGATCCCAGTTAAATTAAAAAGAACATGAAGATTCTTTCAAAACTTACACTTACATGTTAACTATTGGTTATCAAATGCAGGAATTGCTACAGGTCTAGCAACGTCATGGTGAAACAAACAGGTGCTACTCAGTAATTTGGAGTAAAAGAGCACACAAGTAAGTGTATTAGTAGTGTTTTATTAGAATTTAAAAACATCCCTCTGTTACTGTTAGCTATACTGTCCATAAATAAGAGTAATTAGCCTCTCATGCAGAAAGGAACCAGACAATGTAGAAAAAGGTGACTCAAAAATGCATATTATTTTTGGGATCTTGGTCTTCAAAATTTCCTCACAGTCTCATTTGCAAATGCTCCTGATGGCTGGCAGAGCGAGTGCTGCTGGCACCATGGGTGACAGTCTTTCCCAGGATACTAAGGGCTTCCACTGACAGGGAATAAGCGAGAATATCAAGTACGTAACTTTCTTTAGGCAGCTGGTACTCTGCAGGAAATCATGCCATTAACTCCTCTGTGAAGATGACATTCATTAGCAAAAAGCGACATTAAAGAAAAATCGCATTTGCCAGTGTCATTCCAATACATAATTTTCCATTTAATAATATAAGAATAAGCAATTATATTTGTACGTAGAGTGGTAGATTTTAAAATAAAATTCTTTTCATTAGCAAGGGAATAATGAATATTAACAAAAATAATCATTAATAGCCATGCTTTATTTCATCTATGAAATGCTCAGAAGCTGCGTAAGTTAAGTGTTACTGTCTTTAACAGAACAGTGACAGGAAAGCAGAGTCTCCTCCCAGGGCCCAAACCAGACTTCAGCCTGTTTCAAAACTCTGCAGCAAAGATCCTTCCAATTTACAGGGATCAAAACAGCTTCCTGCAGGCCTAAACAGTTATAGGGGGTCTCCTCTGGGGCTCCAAAATACCCTCCCTTTTCCTCTGTACCATAAGCTGCTAAGAGAGAATAGCTTCAGGTGGAAGATGCAGTAAGAGGCCAGTATCAAGAGGGACACGAGTTATCAACTCAGTCTTGATGCCAATACAGTTTTTGTTTGCTCCTTCTGTATGATATGCAGAGGCTGACACAGCTGGCACATCCGCTGCATGGTTTCACTATTTCCAAGGCTGTTGCCAAAACTTCCAGAGCTTAAGAACTAAACCTTCACATGAATAAAAGGTGAGTCCATTCAATTTCCTGGTTCCCTACTGTAAACTGAAGTAATAGTGTAAGAGCCCATAATGGGGGGGGGGTGGGGGGGGAAGTTGCGCAAAAGCAGAAGTGTAATCAAAATTTGGTATTTAGTGGTCTGCAGGAGACAGGCGGGTAGGGACACAAGCTGTAAATACATGAAGCAGGATGGAAAAGTTGTCCAACTGAATTCCAGATAAAGAAATTGCTACATTGCCTTTCTTCAAACCAAATTAAAAACCATCAGTGAAGATACAGAGGTGAAACAGCCCTCTGAAATAACCCTAACCCCAATTTATCGTTTCTTGTGCCCCAGACTCTTTACAATACTGAAGCATGGAATAAAAGTCATGATATTCCACAGTAGTTTTCATAAAAATAAACTGTATCCACATTTCCCTCCTAGATAAACACACTGTATGCTACTGAACAAATCCAAATGTTGCCACTAGGGTATCCCAATTCCTCGTATGAGGAATTGTTTCAGTAGGAAGGATCTTTGCTGAATGGCTAACCAAGCGCTTTCTACAAATATTAGATCTATGTCAAAAACAATATGTGCAATCTTTAAATTATATAAAAGTTATGTTAATCTTAATATTTATAGGTCACAAGACCTCAGATGTCTGTAAACTCTGCAGACTGAAACTTTTCCGTTTGCTAACAGAAGGCTGTACCAAGCGGAAATGGCAGCTCCAGAGAGCCTGGACCTTTGGTTCCCTCTGCCCTCTGCTCACTATTAGCCTGTCAGCATGCTTATGTTGCTCTTTCTCCCTGCAACTGCTCTACACAGTAGGTGGTGAAGGCTGATGGTAGGAGGCAGATGCCACTGAGCATGTGGAAGGGTAGGCCAATGCTTGGTCTTCAGAGCCGGCAAGGAGCCAGCTCGTGACTAGCTGTGAAGAGAGTTCAAGACAATCCATTAAAATTTACTATGAAGCAAAGTAAAATCTTAAGCATGGACCCACAGCCCTTGGTCATCAAAGGGAGAATACTGACAGGAATCTGTTACAATTGGTGCTTTGGTGGTCTTTTAAAAATATGCATGGTTTTTGTCTGCAGAGAAGATGGGGCCGCTTCAGACTACGTGGAAGCACGCAGGGCGGAGGGGTGGCTGGCTGCAGCACCCCTTCAGGGTCGATGCTGCAGCAGCTCCGGGGAGGCACATCTGGTCAGTGCACCACAGAGAAGCGGAGAGGCCTCCCGGGGAGCTTGGCAGGACTGGGCTTGGCACAAAGCAATGTTTTGGAGAGTTGGCTGTCATGTACATGATTACTGGCATGTTAAGCCAGCTCAGAATTAACAAAAAAAGGTTTTCATCTAATGCAAAAATGCCAATGCCGGCACTGAGATAAGACGTTGTCTCTATTTAAATGACTGAAGTGTGTAAGAGTGGATTGTCAAAATTCTCTAGGCACTTAAATCAACTGACTTAAATTAATAATAATAATAAAAATCATCAATGGAAGTGAAAAGTACCTATAAAAATCAGGCCCCAAGATCTCAGGTACGTTTAAGCTGTAGATTTCAAGGTCAGTCCAGCCTTGGCAACGTGGGGCTTAGCACTGCTCATGCACACTGCTCACAGCAAGGGCAGATTAACCCCTGACATTGAGTCTGCGCCCCACTGCAGGAACTAGCCCATTACAGCCAGCTTTGGTGTCTACACCACGCTGCAGCCTTCAGTGAAGACAAAATCTTTAGCAGATCAGCCTTTATGCATATTGCTCCCATATAAAGGTAATCATTGTCAACAGCATATTAATTATTTCCTGGTTTAGTTTTCAAATTAGTAATTTACCATTTTAAACAATAACAATAATTCCAAACAGTATTTCATGCACTTTGTATCAAAAAGATTAGTAGCTGATGCTTACCTAAATTAATGCTGCACTAATAATGGAAACTACAATATGATCTCTAAAACACAAAGCTAAGTGCTAATGAGCATTTCTACTTGAATACATGGAAGGGATGAGGATGTGGGCGGATGCACTACAAACATCTACACACACTCTGTGGGGAAAAAAGTTTAAAAAATAAAATAAAATGAGGATTCACAGAAAGCACAGAGTTATCACCTTGAATCATACTGGGGGAGTGGAGAGGTATAGCTGCAAAATAATTTAGAAAGCAAATGGGAAAAATTAATGTAAGATAATTAGAGGCAAGCAAAAGAAAATATCAATAATAAGCGCAAAGGAAAAGTAACAATCAGAAAAATAACAAAAGCAACACATTCAATGGCCAACTTTAGAAATTATTTGGCTTTTGCTTCACATACCGTGACCTATGTCATATAAAATATGCTACACATGGAAAAAAAAACCTGAAAGGAAGTGTTTATTTAATTAGTCAGCACAAGTCCATAACTTCTCTGAGAAACGCAGAAGCACATGGAAAAGAGAAAAGCATCTGCAATTTACTTAGGTTAACAGCGAATTTACTATAACACAACTTCTTTATTTAATTCCCAGAACATGCTCCACTGTGCCATGGAAAACCAGTTTCTGTATTTTTCTATAGCCATTCATTTTCCAAAGTATATAATGTATAAAGTTATGTATGGCAGTATACTTGAAAGGAGTATCAGTCCATGCCATTCATTACATTGCTTTCAAATATGAGGAGTTCTGTCTACAGGAGGTTTGAGTAAACTATAATTAATCTGATATATTCCACCTTGGAAGACTGAATGCAGTATTTCTGAGCTTCTCAATGTGGAAGGCAGTGTGACACATTAATTTCTTTCTGTTGCCTAAGAAGAAAACCAAGGAGTTAACAAGAAGGCCAACGTGAAGAGAGCACACCCACATTTTAGTTTGGGAAAGTTGCATGAGTAAGCTCATATGTGAAAGCTGAAGGTCATTTTGGTGAGGGGTCTCTACCCCTCTAAAGGCCTCAAGATTCATGACACATTTCAATGTACTGCTTACAATGGACCTGGTTCAAAATATATGCTGGCAAAACAACTTATCTGAACTCAAGAAGAAAAACATAAAACATTATCTTGGCTTAAAAAAAGGAAAAACCAGAAGAGTCGAAATCACTGCCAACAACTCCTTCCTTCTTTGCCTTTCACTGATACATCGCTGGATCTCCACATCCTGCTCTCAGAATTCCCCTTCTGCCTCAGTAAAGAAACGGGAACAAACTTTGATGCTCTTCTGACAGTGGGTAAACGGGGAAAAGAGCAACCCGAGGGAGCAGACTGCAGAGGCGCTCCCCCAGCACGGCACACGGAGGGGAGGACGAGGAATGCGAAGAGCGGGGGGGCCAGGCTGTGGCCGCAGGGTGACCTGGACCACGAGGGCTGCTGACAGCAGGCAACACCAGCCGGAGTACCTCTGCCTATGGCCACAGAAAGAACTGGGAACAAAGCCAGGGGATGAAGCACTGCGAACAAGCAGAAGAAGAGCTGCTTTTCAGAAAAAGACTGGGAGAAGCAAAAAGTCATGATCCTCTCCATATCAGATGTGCTGAGGTACTGCAAAATGTGAAGGGAATATCTGTTGATTGCCCCTAGATGAAGATAATGGGGAAAACCAAACAGTATCACATTATAATATGGGGCCACAATTGAAAAGAAAATTAACGAGTGAGGGTTTTTTCCTAACAAAGGAACCGAGTCATCACAGCATCATTTCTGATGGACTTTGTCAAATGAGAAATCTGACAGGTCAGAAAAGCTATACCTGTTTGGAGAATATCTTATCTCCTCCTCTGCAGCCCCACAGCTTGCTCCACTGCTGCAGGTCTGCAGCTTCTCCCCTCTGGGCAGCAGCTAAGGCCACATCTGCATTAGTGAGGACTGGTGTACAAAGGGAGCAGATCTAAAGTAGCTGATGCAAAAAAATCCCATATCCACAGCATGTATGTTTTGGAGGGTTGGAACCAGGAACCAGTAGTGAACATGCTGAAGAACAAAGGGCAGAAAAGTACTGTCCCAGAGGACTGGCAGGATGCAAACATCAGACCTGTTTTGTACCAGAATAAGTACATAAAATTTTAGACCAATCAGTCTAACCCCAATTATCAGAAATCTTCAGGAATAAATTATCCAACAATCAGTCAATAAGGGCCTAAAGATTATCAAGAGATTACAACTCACCTATCACCAGTCCTCAAAATAATAAACGAGCCAAAATATAAGTGGCAAGAGTAACTTATGTCAAATGAATTTAACTTCCTTTGACGAGTAACTTACCCAGTGTGTGTGTGGAAGTACAGTCTTGGTATTTCAGTAAGCAATCAACGTACACTATAGATAAGGTAAGTGCACAATCATCTGAGAAGTTACCTCAAAAGAGATACCATCAGTGCTTTACTGTTAAACTGAAAGGAAACTTCAAATGGAGATTTCACTGTGCTGTCCTGGGCTAGGTACTAAGCTAATGTCTTCATTCATGATTTGAACACTAGACAGAAAGAAGGTCTGAAAAGTCTTTGGAAAGTAAGATCAGAATTAAAAGATATCTTGCTAAAATGGAAATAGGGTCTGGAACCAACAAACTGAAATACAGTAAAATAAAAAACACAACCAGATAGGAGATGCCAAACACATACTCAAAAAAAAAAAAAAAAAAAAAAAAAAAAAAAAAAAAAAAAGCGCCAGATTGCAGAATTTCAGAAAAGAAACAAGAAATTCTAGCAGATCACAAACATCTGTCAAGAGAAACAGCAGTTACCAAAATCATAATTCTTATTGCGGGATTGTTTAAGATTAGGTGTGCCATGTGTCAGACCAAAGACGTAGCGACCCTGGCTTAGAAATAAGCTATCATCAAAAAGGGGAGAGCCAGGGGACAGCCACAAGAACGCATGGAAATGTGGAAAAGCATCACCTAGGAAGATCTGGGACATTTTAGTCTCTAAAAGAGAGGACTACTTGTCTTCCAACATATAAAACATTGTGAAGAGACCAGCAAGATATTACAAGAAATAGGCCTAATCTGCAGCCAGGAAATTTTAAATTGAGTATCAGAGGAAGAAATATTGTGACAAAGGACAGTGAACTACTGAAGCTAGGAGACTACAGAATCTCTTATTCTTAGTGACTACAAAGAAATTAAACATATTTCAGGAATGGCTTGACTACATTTTATCCTTCTGTAACGCAAATGGGTGGACTACCAGCTCTCTCTCTGAGGTCCTCTGCTGACATACCTTTCCGTGATAACCAATAGACTTTATCTTTTCATACTGCAATTCTGGTATTTCAACTCTAGCATCAACCATATGCAGTATTTTATCAGCCCAGTCCCCAAAAATCCACTGTTGTATAGATCTGTTCAGCAGAATAAGGCACTTACATGTATTGTGGGACTGTAGCTTTAGATTTCTGGGATTTGCTGCTATTTTGGAACTGAAATCTTTTGGCATGTGCTGCACTGATTTTCGTTATAAGAACGTAATTAATCACAAAATGGGGAAGGAAATTGAAAAGGATATGAAATTTTATGTCCTGATCTTGAAAATTAAACAACAAATGTTCATACTAGACTATCTCATGTGCAATGATTCCTTTCAGTTACACATTTATTTGTGGATTTTTACAATAGGTGTTGAAAAACAACTACTATTGCATTTAAATAAAGTCTATCTGGTACTGTCAAGAAGCACCACAACTACAGTGATGACTCATAAGTAAATGAATAGCACCACTAAAATAAAACTACGGATACTGGAGAACAGGCAGGAGTTTGGAAGTATAAATAAAATGAGAGGTTAACTTAAAGCCACCCATTTTTAACTCTATGAAAGAACAGAGCACATAACATTGTATCTCTGATTTCATATTCCAAATAACTTAATACAATTCAAACAAAATCACCTTATGACACTGAAAAGCAAAGCATAAGCAGCAGAAAAAGCAAAACAGAACTATTAAAGAGAAGCCTGTGGGATTACAATGTTTTGGCATTCAGAAAATTAAGTGCAGAAGCAAGTTTTTGGTTTGATATGCAAGAATTTAGACTGACTCCTATTATTAAGTACTCTCATTGAAGTCAGTGTGAATTTTGCCACTGGCTTCAACTGGAGCAGGAATAGGCATGTTATCAGCCATTACAGCAGGCTGTATTCTTCAGCTGACAATACACGTCCACATTTAAAGGTAAAGGAAATCTGTGAAGTGACCTACCCAGAATGGATGGGACTTGAAACAAGGTTAACATTGTCCAAGGTGTCTGCAGCCCAGCTATAGTGTCTTAGAGAATCAGAATCAAACTCCCTTTGAAACGTCAGGTGCTTAAAAATATAATAAGAAAAGATAGATTGAAATTTAAAATGAACATGAAAAACACTTGTCTTAAATACAAGCTTGTTAACATAATTCTATTAAATGTAGATCTGGCCCCTTTCCACATAACAGTGCTGATATCCCAGGTGTTAAATTGCTAGAAATTCCATAACAGAAACATGGAACCCACAGGGTAATAATCTTACTTATCTTCAAACATTCTTTTTGCCCGATTTTCCCACTTCCTTCAGTTACAACTATGTCTCTCTCCAATCTTTACTTACATGTGCAAGCTTAAAAAGATTGAAAAAAATTACCATTTGTACTGCAATCAGACACCATACAGACAGGCAGTATAATATTCACCCACAGAAAACACCATTGGATAGATCCTTATTCAAGCAGAACCTGTGAATAACTTCACTGAGAGTTTAATTAAAGCTGTGAATGCATGACCAAGCTCCCAGTGGGAGGAGGGTTTAGTTTGCTTTATACATGTACAACCAACATGAACACTGTTTTCTAGAGTGCCACTGTCCCTACTCATCTCTATAAAAATAGCTTTAACCCCGTGAAGCGCTGGCACACTGGTGCTATAATTAACTGCCCCATCTGACAGATATTGAGGCATAACTTGTTTGTCGCTGCTGCCCATGGACATGCGCATGCGCACTCATGCGTCCTGTGCCCCGCAACAAGGTCTCATGCTATAAATCCTCTTAGCTGTGTAGCAAAGCCATTCTAGTAGACTATTCTTTTTTCTTTGTTTCTTTTTTCCTAGGAAATTAAACAAATGACATCTTCAAATACTATATGCCCATGTTGCCAGGGTGATATGAAAGCTTCTAAACAATTTAAGAAGCACCGTCAGAAGTTACTGTCAATAAAACTAAGTCAAGAAGCTGTCTCGCAATACACACAGACAATCTTCACCCAAGACTGGTGTTGAAGATGTCAGTGTTTCCTGGAAGTAGGTTGCTTTCTGCTTGCAGGCAAATACCTGCAGAGAGCAGAGTCTGTTAAGACTAAAGCCTCATGGGCTGTTTTCAAATCAAATTCTGTGGGTTCAAGTCAAACCTGGGCCACACACTTCTAGACGGGCAAGTTTTAATATTTCCACCTATTTTTTAAATGTATTGGCACAGAGGGGTAGTGCAAATGAATTATTTTGAATGGAAATATCAGCATTAGTAGTTAATGTGACAAAGTCAGTCATAAACACACAAAAATACTTCTGTTGAGAAGCTTCCACAAGATAAGCGAGCAGATAGTGCTCTGTTGTTGGCCAGAACCTGCAACCCTCCCACCACTCTGGGGTTTCTAAAAAACTCTCTTTAGACATGTCTTTTATTTCAAATGAGCATCCCAGGTTTCCTTCCAAAAACCACTGGCATTGCAATTTACTGCCAATCAATAGAAGCATCTGCAGGGTACAACTTTGCTCTGTCATCTGTCCAACACCATGGTACATGACCTGACGGCTCCTTCTTTTCGCTACCTTAACTCTTTTATGAGGATCTTTCATCGCACTTTTTGCAATGTGTACTTGAAGCCTGATGGTTCAAGCACAGACAGCAACAATAATGAGCAAACTTGCATACGTTAAACACAAAAATAAACCATCAGACATAAAAGATAAAATGAATGTCATTAAAAACAACGGCAATTAAGCAACAGCAATAGATTTAATTAGTACCATTTTGGAAAAAGTACGATAATTTAGTTTAATGAAGACATTTTTCTACTTCCTTCCAATAGAACACTAGAGCTTCTCCTACATTTCCTGAAGATCCCGCAATTTAGGCAGGAAAGCCATTACTGTGGATTTCTGCTATTCCAAGCGATCTAACTTCGTAAGAGCTCATGCCGAGCACATCATTACTTTTGATACCAAACAGTGTAAGATCCAGACAGTTGGTTTCAAAAGTTGTAAAAATTTAGATAAACAAAAATAAATTTATTCCTTCACTCAGTGATCAACATTATCATAAAAAATAGGACAAAACAAAGAAACATAAGAAATCTGTAAAAAAGAACTATGCAATTTAGTGTTTGTCATTCAAATGCCTGCTAAGCTGTAACGTTGTCACTGTACTGAGGTCCAGGCACACACCAGGACACATACACCAACACATAAACCTGGGATCATGTTTGCTGTAACAGCTGAAAAATGCTGAAGTTCTGTATCACAGCAGTGTGATACAGAAAACTAAATGCAGGGCCACCTAATTCCCAAGGAAATACCACCACTCTAAAATAATCTATGCTAGATAGAGGTGCTACTACGCTCACCAAGTTGCTGTAGGTTTGCCTACACACATACATAGGGTTCCTTGGTCTATTCCTTTGTCCTGAGATACTGTCTGTATATCAGGTGGCTGTATTTTTTGATGCGTTCTTTTCTGACAAAGTGCACTGAAACAGAACTTTTGGATGTATTTACAGCCAGCAAAAGCACAAAGCCTACAGCCAATAATTTTGGCTGAGAAACAGAGTAAGAAAAGCTAATAGCTGGACACATGCATCTTAACACGCGGCACACATCTGTTGATCTCATTTCGTCAGTCTGTTGAGGTGCTAGATTTTCCGGGCAGGCAAAAAAATCTTCCTGTGCATACAAGCAGTCCAGAGGATGGCACATCATCAGTGACATCAAATCACAGGATTCATCCTGTGTTTGGTCAGGTCCCAGCATTACCTCCCTGGACCAAGAGAGGTTAAATATGCATTGCTAAAGGGCGTGGCATCATTAGATGCAAATGCATGTATAAAACCACTGATGGGTCTGCCGGCAAGGATCCTGCTGGTTGCATAACCGAATATCCAGGCTGTATAATATCAGAGTTCAGCAAACAGAAGAATTTATGCTTCCTCCCAGATGAATTTATCCAGACAGAAGAGATTCAGCAAGCTGCTATGCAATGGACAGCTTGATCCATCCTGCCTTTGGCTGATTAAATTCAGAGGCTGATGTAAATTATTCCGTGGAGAAAGTTGTTCGGATTTGGTCTGAGTTGCTGCATCCATGGTAACGCACCAGGACACAGAAATTTCAACTTGGCTCCAGCCAGGTTATGAGGCACGGTATGGCCTGGATTCAGACTTCCTTGTTGAACAGGGTCAGCAGTAAAACACTGAATGCAAACAATGGAGAATATCTCGACTTCTCAGGGAATTGCTAGAAACTCTAATACCCAACGTGTCATGCTGGCAGTCAGGTTCAGTGAAGACTAGTTTCAAATCTTCCTCATTTGACTCTTTTTAGGCTCCCAAGTCTCCCAGTGATCCTGGGGAGAGACAGCCATGGGATCTTCTATTTTAACCTGATCAAGGGGTTGACAAATGCCCCTCACTCCTTTACATACTTACATTTGTGATAAAAGTCATTCCTTTTACGCTGAGACTTTGCTGTTGCCATGAACTCCAGACAGGTCTGAGCTTTACAGAAGAGAAATGGAATATGCAGATAGGCAATGTCTCACTTCTTCAAAGTAGTGCGATACTCCAAAACAGACTTAACTCCTATCAGTTTCCAGATGGACTTTTAGGATATTAGTTTGATCCACAATGATCTTAGTTCCTGTGAATTCCGTTGTTGGAACACAAGGTGGGATTTTTCCTTGATTTCTACCGCCATAGCAGAGCTTGTCTAGAATGCTAGTAATGCACAGAGGGAAGGGCATTCTCCATCTCCCAAATGCACTCCTCCTGCTTCAGCCAAAGAGCTGTAAAGCTTACCACCGTAGGTTTGGGCTGGGCTGAAGAACACGGGAATATATCCAGAGGATGGATGTATTTTTTTGTCAGGACTTTGAGGTTTGCAGAAATCATAGCAGAAAATTTTAGGTGGGCTCCCTTTTTCATGAAGATAGGTTGTTGCTTTACTGTTGTTTGTTTTTCAGGGGATCATGGTTTTACTAACCTCTCAAGACATTTTTTTTCTATCACCACCTTCACCATTCCTGATTCCCTCGTGGACTTGAGAAACTTGAAGTTTGTCTACAGGATTAAGACTAGAATAACATTTACAGTTAGACTGTCAGCCAGGCCTCCAGCCTGGCTTCATTTTACGTGACAAATCTGGACCAGAGCTGAACTGCAGTAATTGCACAATCATTGGTGGACAAAACTGGAATCACAAAAATATGAAGACTATAAATGCAATGACAACGGCCTAGACTGCTGCTCAGCACCAGCACTAGGTTTTTGTATTTGTTGCCTTGTCAACTCAAGAGCCAGCACTGCAAGAGAGCCTCCAGGAAGCAGAGAGGTCCATGACCACTTGTACACAATATGAAGTTTGTCGTAAAGTAGAACTCCTGTACATGATGTGGTTGATGTCACTGCAACACCTCCATGTACAGATGAGTAATTCTTATTTTTCTAGTGGAATTTTGTAATACAAACCAGGTTAATGGTGCACACTTTGAACAATGTTCTTTAGGAGTTATTCAGCATAGTGTCAGTTTTAAGTCTTGTCATTTGATCAAATGCTGCTAAATCAATGCCATCTACTTTGATAGTAATCACAAAAATGGCCAGAATCATAAAACAATGTAATACGTTCTCAGACTGAGGAGTCTTCCTCTCCTCCGAATTTCTACCATATCAAGAAAACTTAACAAAGGCTTAGGAGTAGGAAGTGTCAGAGTAACTTTAGGTTCTCAGCCTGGGAATATAATTTCTCATTCCCAATGGCCATAGTTGCAGATTTTATTTTCCGACTTCAGAAACAAACAAAAGCAACAAAATTACTGCTATGCAATGTTCAGAAAGCCTCCCTAGCTGGCTGTTGCAAAACAAGGTTATTGGAGGTTTACAGCATTTCACTTGAAAGTAACAACCTAATAATAAACACTCAATTACTAAAGATAATCCAATCTCAGCCGTTGTCATAATGCTACCAAAACTGTGTGCAAAAACTGCAGTAAAACTGGGTAATTTCTACTATACTAGAACTTACAGGCTAATACAAGCAAGGTTAAAAATGCTTCAGTCCTGCTCTGTGGACCCTTTCCCCCAGGAAAGCATCCTCTGAGATCAGTAACTCCCTGTGCAGGAATACTTGCCGCTGCTGAGAGGCACCTCTGTGGAAACAGCAGCAGAAAACCTCCGTTTCATTACAATCTACCTTATGCTCTTCCAGGACATAAACAACAGTGTCACTCTATGGTCCTTTAATTTCCAAGTTAAGATTTCTATGTGAATTTTTATTCAGCTTCCTAGCAGATCTCTGGCTTCTGCGTATCAAGAAACTCTTGAGTAATTCAGATAGATTTGAAAACCTGAAGCAAGTCTACCAAGCAAAATGATGAGGAACTCACAAAGCTTGCGGTACCCTATCATCTCTAGCATTAGCTTTTAGAAAGACTTTCCCACACTGTAAGCAGGTCAAAAGATTCTGCTTTTGTTTTATTAGTCATTGCACAAATGTTTGGAAGATATATAAACTGGTCAGTGCATAACAGCTTAATCTTTACAAGGCCAAATTCTTCCCAAGGGTGGAAAAACAAGGACAGCAGTTGGGAGTCCCCCCCATGCGGACGGAATGGGTGAACGTAATCCCTGGGCTATACAGCACAGACAAAAGTTGCTTAGTGTAAAACACATTGCTCCCAGCTTATCAAAGCACTCTAAGGATACATGTAACATTAAGGTCACAGATGCTCCCATTGCCTTCTACAGACAACCTCATACTCGGAAACATAACTGGTCCCTTAAAGACTCTTTCGGTTTGGGACCCCATCACCCTGGCTCTTGCAGGATCAAAACCACAGTGTGGTAAACCCACAATTTCTTTTTCTCAGCTCCTTTCTTCTCCCTCTTCAGTAGTTAAGAGAGTAGCAATAGCCTCTGCAAAGCACAGCTGGGGGCTGCAGATCGTAAATACGAAGCACGAATAGCTGGTGGCAGATGCAGCACATACCTGCTCCTTTGCTGGTACCAGCAGTTCTTCAATCATCATGCTGTCTCGGGCATAAGAACTTCTGTTCAGCGTGTAGGACCTATCCGAACTGAAGGAGCGGAGGCTGTTGTATTTACCATTTATCATAGAAAGTGCAGATGACAATGAGATGAACAAAAAATAAAAATAAAAAAATTAATACATGCAACTTCCAGGGATAGCATAAGATGGCAAAATATACATAATCTGTGAAATAAATACAAGGGAAAAAATGGAATAATAATTATCTGAGTACAATTAACTATCCCCTTCTCTACAATATACATAAGCAAAACCACAACAGATGTTTACTGCTTTGGCAGTAATGCCATGGCTTTAGAATAAATCCCAAAAAGTGTATTCAAGTACTTAGATGAACTTCGATAAACATCTTCACACCCTAATCCTGAAAGGAGACCCATGAGGGCAGGTCCTGGGGAAGCTGTGGGTAGGTTACAGCACCTGCCCGTATGGCTCAGATTGCTGAAGCAGGTTTAACTATGAGCAAGGTTTGTGTGTTGTCATTCTTTTTGCGGCTGAACCACTTTTAACTTTGTTATAACACCCTAGTTATTCATTTAGTTAGAAAAAAGTATAGTAATTTTGAAATGAAAGGAGGAAGAAATTTGCTTATTGATGATTAAATACAGATTCCAATGCTCTGGGGATTATTTTGTGCATGTTAGACTATTAAGAAATAACTATGATCCCTCTGAATATGTTGCAATTAAATCAAGGTAGGAGTGTGTTACACTTAACCCTGGAAGATACATTATGGTATGTGCTAAAAACATGCTGCAGGCCTAGACATGCTTGCTACGTGACAAAAAATAAAGTAGTAAAAAAATGTGAATTAATAAAAAGCAACATCCAACAACATATTACACTTTTGAACTAGCAACACTTTTCAAACTCAAAACTCTACAACTTGTTTCATGCATTTTGTAGTTGTTAATCAAACTTTTCTTGTCCCTTAGCACACGTTCCTCCTTGTGCTAGAAGCAGAACTGGGATCTTAATTACACACTCTAGGCATATGTTAAGCAGACTTTTACATGATAAAGGGTATAAAGAAATCAAGTTATGTTCATTATAGCAGAGGGATATTCTCTAAGGCTGATCCCATCCTCCCCCAAAATAAAAGTATGTCACTTTCCAATGCCGAATAACATGAAGATGAGCAATGGCAGCAGCAGAAAGATGTAACACGATGCCATGCCTTCTTACCTGACTTTTGGACTAAAGCAATTTACAGTGGAAAAGAAACAGGAGAAATAGAAAGCAAAGAATCAGACAGGAAAAGCAAGATGTTATGGCTGGATGGCTTATATATTTAATGTGTTTATTTCTTAATGTTACACTCAGAATCAGTAGTAATATGCATCCACAGAACACTTTTTGCTAAATAAAATACTTCACAGGAAAAACGCTGTATTTGTCTCCTCTGAGCATAACATGTGCAATGTAAAAAATGAGTTACGCAGCAACAAATAGTAATGGCACTGCTAAAATCAGAAGCATGGGAATATTAGATTTCTCTCAAAGAAAAGGTAACATGAAGTTGAACCTTCACATCTACCTAACAGATCTTGACCGTGAAATTCTGCTCTCGCACTTGCACAGTGAGAATTTAGACATGTGTGGGAAGAGTACTGTGATGAGTAAAAGGGGTCCTGTGCACCAGTGCCCAGCTCTGCACCCAAAGGGCACTCCCTCTCCACCATCACCACGGTGCTTCAGACCTGACCACATCTGATAGTGCTCCATGATGACCTTGCTCACGGCAACTTCTGTTTAAAAGCAGCATGTCAGCTTTGCTAACTAAGTTTACAAAGATGTAAGATTCTCCCTTCAAATATGTTTTTCCGATTTTCTAGCTAATGGACTAAACACATTTTGACATTCTTCATTAATGTATTATCGCATAAAATAATTATTAACTTACCTAAAAATTTTAGGTGAAGCAAAACATGGCTGGGAACTACTAAAGAGCAACTTTGCACTGCATGCTTGCATTTCTAATGCAACCATAACAAACAAGACTGAAGGGTAGACATCTAAGCTTTACCTTATGGGAGTTGCCATTTGCTGTTAGACAATGAACTCGCTTTTTAAAACAGATCTTTAAACTATAGCATAGGAAAAAGTCCTCAGGGCTCCAGCTTATGAGGTTTAATTATTAGCTGCAGTACGATTCGACTGTCAGTAAATACATTGCAAATCCACAGCTATGGAAGTAATCTCTGCTTATACAGCTTTAATTGTTTTGAGCAATGCACATTGCAGGCTTTAGCAAGATTCAAAAATGAAATCCGAAACGTTGATCTAGAAACAACTGAGTTGAAATCAACATGTCAGCTATTAAAGTTTAAAATATTTTATCAGGTTCACAGAAACTTTGACCTGTTTTCTGTAACATGTAATCCATTCCCTGTCAAATGAAACCCTACAACAAATTTAGGGTACACCTGATTTTTTATTTTTGGGAGCATTTTTCTTTAATACTGCCTATCTTGGTTGGATTACTCGCTAGTACCTTTGAAGAAATAAAAGCACCAAAATAGCAAAATGATTCTCATTCAGTTTTTCTGGCATTTACATTCTTCAGCTAAATTAGTCAATTAAGGAACACTCTACTGTGAGGATCAATCCGGCCAGCAGTAGTGAAAAGAAACCTGGTTCTGCTGGCTGTTCTAGATCAGTTTCTAGAACAGTTGCAAACTGCTAGCAAAGAGGTGCTTTGGAGATGTTCAGAGCATGAGCAGATACCAGAAAAAGTGAATAGTCAGTTTTCTGTATCATTGCCATAAGAAGCCAACATGAATAAAGAATATGAAATAAAACTGCAGCGAACATATGCTTTAAAGGCGCGGTATTATACCACGGAAGTACACCCCCTCTACTTTGTTTCAAAACCGACTCCAGCTTTGTGTGAAAGAGCGCACTTGGTTCGTAAAAAGTTGTAACTGTGGTGACAGGCAGACACGAGAAACAGCAAACACAATACCTGGCGGAGCGGGCTCCCAGGCTAAAGCCCATGTATCCTTCAGCAGGCAAAGAATCATCTCCCAACTCTTTCAGATCCTGGGGTCCGAGGTATTTGTCCGTATCACCTGTCATTGCATCCTCACCTGCCAGTACAAAAGCCAGGCTGAAGTCAGAAACTACATGTATTGTAAATGTTCGCGTGCTTAGTAAGTCATAATGCCCTCCTCTGCTCGCTGACAAGGAATCAATCCCGTCACCCCCACCTTCCCTAAGGCTCTTTCCATCTACTACGGCAATTATCCACCCTCCAACCGGGCCTGAGAAAGTAATTTTATTGGGGGCAAACGTAAGAAGCAAAACTCCACCTTGACGTAAACCCAATAAAATTATACGAGGGATGACTGTTGCTCAATCGTTTAAGCAAGCTAAAGGGTTCTTCTGTACTTTGCAACACTGCCCTCACTTTTGCTTTCCTTACCAAAAAACCTGAGCTGGCAAAGTAAAGTTAGGTTAATTCTGTAAGAAAAAGAAAAAAAAATATAGCTACTTGGCTGTGTTGCCCAGCTGTACTGAACGGCGCAGCAAGCCTGAACGAACGCTGAGCAGAAGAAGAGGCCCGCCTTCCACCTTCGGGATTTCTCAGTAACTTTGGCAAGTCCGAATGCAAGCGGGGCCTGTGTAACGCCGCTTTTCCTAAAGGCGCCGCTCCGCGCTGC